CCCCCCCCCCCCCCCCCCCCCCCCCCCCCCCCCCCCCCCCCCCCCCCCCCCCCCCCCCCCCCCCCCCCCTTTTTCTCTCTCTCCGTCCCCTTCCTCTTGGCAGCTGCTGCAGTGGTCGGAGCAGCAGTACCGTATCAACGTTGGGCGACGGAACGCTGCGGTTGGCAAGGTGCGTCCACGTGGCACAGAATGAATGAGCCAGAGGATTGGCTCATGCTAACCAGAGGTAATTCAGGTTAACAGGAAACCAGTTAGCTCACCAAATACCCACTTCATCAAGTGAGCAAGTAAACTAGTGAATCAGGTTACCAATTAACCCAAGTAACCCCATTTATTCAAATGGCTAGGTAAGCAGTTAATGTGTGGCCAGGAAATCAGTTAATCAGGTAACAGGCAAGGAACGACAAGAACAGCAGTACCGCACGAATCTGAGGCTCTGGATGGGTGGGTGGGCGGATTGGTCAACGACTATGGGCCACTGAGTTAGCAGGTTAGAGGAGACAAGCCGGGCTGTGGTTCAGCAGGCCAGCAGGTAAGCAGAGTAGAATGTGTGGAATATGTTACCAGCAGCAGGTACGCGGTCGTGGGTGACTGGCTGCGGGTACCCTCACACGTATGTGGTGCTGTTGGTGAGTGTAAGCAGTAAATGCGAGCGGAGAGGGTTGGGGAGGGAGAGGTGGGTAGGGAGGTTAGGGTTTGAGTGTTTATGGGCGGGCGTGGGCAGGGTTGCATGGGTGGTTGCACGGGAGAGTTGAGTGCATGAGTGGTTGCACGGGAGAGTTGAGTGCATGGGCGGGTGTGTGTGTGAGCTCAGTGCTTTTTTCCGTTGAACCATATTCTTAACACGCATCAACTTTATCTTTTTACACTCAACATCATCCATTACACTCAACCTTTTTCTTATATCGCAACCTGATCCTTCACATTCAACCCCATCTTTTACACACATCATTCCAATCCTTGAACCACCCCATCCCTCCCGCTGTTTGCCCCCATGGTAGGATCCGGTAAAGTTCGTTATGGACTGGTTCAAGATGACTGAAGGACGGCCCTACAAAGCCCGAGCCGCATTCATGTTCGAGGTACAGTGCGGTGCAGTGCAGTGCATGCAGCAGTGACTTAAAAAAAATCCTTAAAACTGATTCAAGATTCAGCAGCGTGTTATTACAGGAGGCAGTTTCAAGGGATCCGATGCTTTCTTTGCCCAGGTTCTGGCAAGCTCTGTATCGGATCTCTTGAACTGTCTGTGACTTGTAACCTGTACCTGAGAGTGCCTCTCAGGTGCTCTGATGATCTGATCTGCCTTGCTTGCTGTAACTAATCACTCTTGTTACCACCTTTTGTACCCGTAAGCCAGCTCTTAGCTCAGTTTCTACTTCATGTGCTGCCAATCCAAGCCAACTGTGCGTTTTTCTCCTTGTTGACATCTTTCTCTAGTCGACGCTTTTGCCGAAACCTGCCCCAGGTGCATTCCTTGTTTGCTCTTAGGCGGAAACCTTCTATGACTTCCTTTACGACCCCAACCCCTTCCCACGCCGCACCCCCCTTCCCGCACCGCACCCCAATCCCTTCCCACGCCCCCTCCCCACGCCACACTCCAATCGCACAAGAAGGTGTTTGCCGCGGCGTACCCCTGTCTCATGGAGGAGCGCCTTGGCACGTGGCTGGATGGTGGCAAGTGGGTGTACTGCCTTTTGAGTCGACTAAAAAACCCACCCCCACCCCCACCCCCACCCCCACCCCCACCCCACCCCACCAACAGGTATTTGCCCCGGCGTACCCCTGTCTCATGGAGGAGCGCCTTGGCACGTGGCTGGACGGTGGCAAGTGGGTGTGCCCGCCCCTCCTCTCCTCAACGCCTCCTCGGTTGTCTACAGGTGACTGTTATGCGCGTGCTGGATTGTTTTTTCTTTTAATATAATTATTATGAAACAGACACTCTTTATCCATTTTAATTTACCGGCTTCTCAGTGAACCCTTCTGGTTGTTGCGTTCTCGTAACCTTTCTCTTTGGATTTTGAGGGTAACCCTTTCCCCTCTCCCCTGTCGTTCAAGGAGGAACTTTTCAGCCGCTTCAAGGCACTCTTTCGACACGCCTCAGAGTCTCTGTCTCGCACTCTTTCGTGTCTCGCACTCTTTCGTGTCTCGCACTCTTTCATGCCTCGCGCTCTTTCGTGCCTCGCGCTCTTTCGTGCCTCGCGCTCTTTCGTGCCTCGCGCTCTTTCGTGCCTCGCGCTCTTTCGTGCCTGCCCTGCCCCCCTCTCCTCCCCCCACCATCGTCTCCCCACGGCAGCATAGGGTCAGACGGTAAGGACTCATTTGAGGGGAAGAGTTTCAGCCGCCTTCCAGTCACGCACGTCTCAGAATTCCCCGTCTTCTTCTCTCCCTCCCACTGTTTTGTGCCTGCCCTCTCTCCTCCCTCCCTCTCTCCTCCCTCCCTCTCTCCTCCCCCCCCTCTCTCGTCCCAACATTGTCTGCCAACGTCAGCATAGGGTCAGACGGCAAGGACTCATTCGAGGAGGAGATTTTTCAGCCGCTTCAAGTCACAAATCCATGTCTTTGACCACACGCTCACGCCGCGCAAAAAGTTGATGCTCGTTGTCTAAACCCCTCCCTCCCCTGAGTTCGCCCCGAATCAACACCTTCACCTTCCTCGCTGCCCGCTTCAGCCACTTCAAGTCACCGATCCATGTCCTTTGACCTTACCTGGATCTGGTTTTGTGAGCCGGCGTGAGCACGGACCACACGCTCACGCCGCGCAAAAAGGTTCCGTGCTTTCACTTACCTTCCTTCCCCCTGAACCGCCCTGATTCGGCCTGAACCCCCCCGAACCGCTCCAAGTCACGCATCCATGTGTTTTGACCACTCCCTCCCGCCACGCAAGAATGCCACCATCCCTGACCCGCTGTGATCAGCCTTCAACCGCTCTGAACCGCAGCACACTGCACTGAACGGCCCTCCAACCGCCCTGTACCCACACGGTCGCACCTCCCTCCCATCTTCCAGCTCCATCCTCCCACCCGTGAAGCCTCTTCAAGTCACGCACGCGGCACGCATGTGCTTGCCCACACCCTCACACCACACCACACCACACCACACCACACCACACCACACCACTCCACACCACTCCACACCACACCACACCCCACCACACCACACCACCCACACTGACACCACCAACACAAAGTGGCCTTTAGTTACCTCCTTACACCACTTAGTGGCATCAGCCTTGCCCTGAACTGCCACATAAGTACATGCTGTTCAACACACACAAACATGCCTGCACTCATACACACTCTCATGCATGCACACACACACACACCTGCCATCCACACGTATGCATGCCCTCACGCACATGTGCATACCTACACACGCACCAACATGCGCTTTCGCGCTTTCACATCCCCACGTGCGTGCATACACACTCACACGCATATTTGATGCACACTATGCGCGTGTAGACACACACACACACGCACACACACACACACGCACGCACACACACACACACACACACACACACACACACACACACACACACACACACACACACACGTGCGCTCACAGGCCCACATGCACGCACCCGCACCCTGTATCGCCGGGCCAAGTTGGAGCGTACGAAGGCGTACAAATTACACGCTCGTGCAGCGCAGACACCCTTTATTATTGCCAGGGCATGGTGGAGCATAGGAAGGAGTACAAATTCCACCCCCATCGCTTTGGATGAATTTCTTTTCTTCTGATATTTTTCGTTGCTTTTGAGAGTTTTAAAAAGGGGGGGGGGGGCGAGAGTCTTACATAGAGAGGGAAAGAACATCTACTCACCTGCTCGCACCCTGTATTGCCAGGCCAAGGTGGAGCGTAAGAAGGCATACATGTTCCACCGTTTGGTCGCCTTACGCGTTCCCCTCCCTCCCCCCACATGCCCCATACCATACCGCCAGGCCAAGGTGGAGCGCAAAAAGGCATACAAGTTCCACCCCGTCGGCCTCGCTGTCTCATCCAACGAGTCTGCTTCTCTACAGCAGCTTCAAGGTGTGCCTCGCTGCAAGGTGACTCGTTACAAGGCGAATTGTGACAAGGTAATTCGTTGCAAGGGGACTCGACGCAAGGTGACTTGTTACGAGGTGATTCCTTACAAGGTGATTCGTTGCAAGGTGACTCGTTGCCTCGTTACAAGGGTGACTTGTTGCCTCGTTACGAGGTGACTTGTTGCAAGATGGACAAGTTGCAAGGAGACTCGTTGCAAGGTGACTCGTTGCAAGGTGACTCGTTGGGTGGTACTGGTGATAGGATCAATAGCAATATGTTTTCTTACAATGGAACTTGCTTCAGAATCAATAGCCAGGGAGCATGTCTTCATACTCAGCATGCCCGATCCTGACTCACTATGCCCGATTCTTGCTCACCATGCCTGATTTTTCCCTCACCATGCCTTAGTTTACTCACCATTCCATTGTTTTGCACACCGTGACTTCCAATTCTCAACCTTGCTGCTTCCATGTGCCATAAGTCAAGGCCCTTGTTCTTCTCAGCCTGCTATTCTCGTTGTTGCAAGAGCTCGCAAATACAACACCATCCCGTCGATCGTTTTGAAGCTGCGCCTCAGAACAGCGGCTTCCCTTTGCCCCTCTGTGCGTCTTCAGGACCTCACAACGATGCTAGGCAATTCCTTTGTGGACATATCCATGGCAGACTGCGCGTGGTGCAAATACAACTCCATCCCCCCCGTTCCTTTTTGAGGCTGCGCCTCAAAATCAGCCTGTGGTTGCCTCACTTTTCCTCCAGTGCCCCCCTGTGCGTCTTCAGGATTTGAAACGATGCTAGTCACTCTTTCGTGGACATATTCAAGGTGGATTGCGTGAGCTGTGAATACGTTATAAATCCAATCCATCCATCCTTTTTTAGGCGCCTCTAAAACAACCTTCGTTCTCTCCCCCTGTGCTTCTTCAGGACCTTACAACGATGCTAGGTCACTCTTTCGTGGACATATTCAAGGTGGATTGCGAGAGCTGTGAATACGACGTCATTCCGTCCATCCCTTGATGGTTACACCACGCCACCCTTTGGACAGGTGCTGCACTGCTGCTTAGAGAGTAATGGGAAATGGCATTCATAGGCATGCATGTATGCACACACACCCCTGCTCACTCATTCACTAACACACGCACGCATGTAAGGCGCACGTGCTGCGCGTGCGAGCACGCGCGCGCACACACACACACATGTACCTTATGCGTCTCGTATGTCTCAGGCGACCCTGGTCAGAGTCTCAGCTACTCAATTCAGGGTTATTGCCTGCCACCACCCCACAGCCCCTCCAGTACCCTCCCTCTTAACCCTGAGCTTCTTTCTTTACCCCCATATAGATGTGCTTTTTCTGAACTGACAGGATCACACACCCTTTGTTTGCCCCTTGTGCTCTTTTCTGTTCTCCAGCTGCTGATTGAGATTCATGATTTAGACCGATCAAATGCCGATCGTCTAACGAGATTTCTTCACAAGATCGAATTGCACGGTTACCGCATGTTCCACATTGAACTAAATTGGAGGCAGCATCATGTCCCTGGAAAGCTGCATATATCCATGAGAGCTTGTGTTAGTGTTATGTTGAGAGGACCGTATACTGTATTCCATCGCTTCTTGTATTTTTATTGTTATGATGTAAGATGCGACCATGTGCACTTCTCAGTTCAAGTTTAGTATGCCTCCATGCAATTCCACCCTCAACTCTTCAGTCATGGGCTCAGTTTGAGTAAAAACTACTTGGTGGTCCAATCTTAGAGCTATTGTATGAACTACACTGTTATGCAATACCTGTGGGAACAGGCCGTTAGCGTGGTGTAGAAAGCACCAGTGTTGAGGGCAAATGTGGACATCCTAGCTGCAAAGCACAATCTTTTGAGTGGCTGAGAGAAAACCGGAAGCTACGTACAAGCATTACTGCTTTGCATAAATTGCTGATGCAGCGTCGGCGGGTATTGGTTCCTCAAGGGTGACTCTGACAGCATGCCCTTGACTGGCCACGTGTCTTTCTGTCGCGAGTAAGGACCACGTCTAGTTGACTAGGAATTGGCGGGAAATCTTTGGTGATGCCACAAGTGACCTCATGATGGTGGTCGTGGCTCGGTTCGTGACACCTATTGCCATGGGTCGTTCGAGGATGTGTTGTGTAGTGTAGGTGACAGCCGCATCTTGCGGACAGATCCTGGGAGGATATAACGTGTGAAAACAAGAGTGGACACACCACGGCAACGGCGCGCTTACTCCCATGGATGTGCACTTTGCCAATTTACGTGGAGGCCATCACATTTGCCTGGACAGCACAGCAGAAGGCAGTGCGAGCAGTGGTTCCCCTTGATTGCGGCGAATATGACGCGACAGCCACGGCGTCGCAACAGTTTCATCGCCTGCCATTTTGTAACCAGTCGCTTCCACTTTGGGGCGTTGATCCCGCAATCTTGGTGCGACAAAGTATGCGCGTGCCACCCTCCCTGCATCTGTGAAAGTGAGATCGAGTCGCTGAATACAGAAAACATAATTTCCTTTTAGCTGCCCATGTAGCCACCGCGACCCCCTTTACCCAAACCCAGCACAGAAGGTTCACTTTCATGCTGCCCGTTGAACTCGCAGCTGCCGTCACTCAGCCCCCGATCTCGCGAATCCCATGCTCGCTGGATTCGAAGTTCTGGTTCTGATTGGCGATGCGCGTTTCAAGGCGAATCGCTTGCATCCTCCCGCCTGGTCGCAACGTTTCGCCGACAACATTCGTCCATTTCTCGTCTATCATCATTTGCAAGCTTTTATGCAACGCCATTGGCCTATTCTCAGCACATTTGAGCTTCGGCAGCACTCTGACTTGTAATCCCGCAATTTCGACCTGGAAGTCCGTGCCAATTCCGTCGCTCGAAACGTCGTGCGATTCGAGCTTCCGCCGCAGGGAGTCCCTGTCCAGTCGCCGCTCCTTCACGCCGTCGCATGCGACTACTTTGCGACGACCTTCCTCTCTCTTTCTCAATTGTGTGACTCGCACTAACTCGCTCCGCCCCCTCTTTTTCCTCCATACTCGGCCCTTTTCGCTTACTTCATCTTCATTTCTCTACGCCGTTCCTGAGAGGACCTAAGCTGGAATTTCGCCGTTGCTAGCGCCGCAGCACACCAACCAACCACCATCGGCGTCAAGCTGTGCTTGGATTAGAAAGCGTCATCTCTCATATTGACGTTTATTCCGCGAGTTGCTGCATCTGACTGCAATCCTTCCTCAGCTATCTCAGCTGAACCCTCACCGACAAGCACGTCGCGTCTAGTGGCCTCTCTCAGCCAGAGGACTCATCGTGCCTTTCGTGGTGTACGCGTTTATCGTCGGGGCCTTTAAAGGCGGGGTGCAACTTCTTAGGAACAGTAGCAGGACAAACATGGAGTGTGCGTAACGAGACCCTTATTGGATGAAAAAAATGGAATCTCGGAAAAGACAAACTTCTCGCCACAGAACTGCCTGGGACAACCAAGTTCCAAGCTATAATACTTCGAAGTTGAAGCTGATAGTTGGGCCACGGCTTTAAGTTCCTCGCTTGAGCTCTCGTCCACCCCAGAAAATCTCTGTCATTCGCAGCTTGGATCTTATCCTTTCATTCCTTCGCTTTCATCCAACCCGTTCCGAATCGGCCAATCATTCTAGTCTCATAGAGCCACCTCTCTCCGTGACTCTCTCTCACTCGTCTCCAGCCATGGCGCTCTCGCACTCAAGTATACTCAACCTCTTCCCCGCTACTAAATCATCCGACTCCGTCACTGGTGGTACATCATCAGCGGGATCCATACCATCCGGCCGACTACTACCTTCGTCCACCATCTCCTCTAGTCTTCGTCACGTGCTAACTCCCTCCCAATCCTTATCCTCTGCTTCGCACAATGCCGCCTCCTCGCTCTTCCCCTCGCCTCTGCACTCGTTTCACCACGTGTCGCTTCCGCGCACCACCACCGCCGGGGCTGCGCCGGCTGCGCTTTCCGCGCACCCGCGTGCCATGCTCCCACAAACCTCCCCGTTTCCTCAAGCCTCACGGGCGGCCTCCGCGTCGCCTGATCAAGTCGCACTCGCAGCGTCCGCGGCGCCGACAATCATTTTGCGTTCCGATAAAGACGCGCAGTCGTTTTCCAACGCACCGCAGCTTAAAGAGCGCAGCGCGCAGGTTCTTTCGGAGCTAAGGAAAGCATCCGCCGCTGTTGCGGTGTCCACCGCGTTTGCGCTTTCCGCGGGTTGCTGCGCGCCAGGCGCGGCGCTTGCGCTGGACCAACTCCCCCCTCCCGTTCCGCCTTCAGAGTATCACGTCGCCATTTCGACGACAGACAGCGCCGTAAAATCCGGTCTACTTGCTGACGAGTTTATCTCGCAACTAGAGTCTATACCTTCCGCTCCCGCACTTGCCACGTCAGCATCCCCAACCCCGGCGTCATTAACGCGCCAGGTTTCACTGACATCCGCGGGATCCTCGGGCAGAGTGGTCTCGCCCGAGGCGCAGGAGGAGGCGAAGGCAATGCTAGTGCGACAGCTGGAGGAGCAGGATAGGCTGAGAAACGCTGAAGAGCGGATGTGCGACGCGGTTCTGTCGCCCGTGAAGCAGGGCATCGCAGGTCCCGACTCCTCCTCGCCGGGTCGCTCGCGCTCCGTCACCTGGGCCGACTGCGCCGCGGACTTCCCGGCTGACGTCATGGTTCCGCTAACGCTCTCACCCGGCGGGAGCTTCAGCGGTGCAAGCGGAGACGGCGGAAGCGGGAGCGGAATGCGCAGCAGCAACGGGTCGATCGTGGCGGAGCCCGCAGTGTACATGGGACCGGTTGTGGGGGGCGCGGCGGCGGCTTCCGCCGCCATGGGCGGAGTTGCGACGGGCGGCCCGATCGCCGCAACTGAGGTGTCGTTCGCGGGAGCGGCGGCGGCGAGCCTGACCTTGGAAAGCGCCGCTGCTGCTGCCATCGCCAGCTCGTCTGGAGGTAAGCATCTCCTGTAATATGCGTAACATGTGATGTAACCCGCGTTTCGCAACTTCCGAACTCCCCCCCCCCCTCTATTCGGCCCCCGTCCCCCCTTTTCGAGCCACTCGCCCGCTTCTTTCTGGGCCGTTGCCGCCTTTCCCCACTCACTCATTCCCCTTTTTACGCGCTGCTTTCCCCGCGCTTTCTCTCCCCGCAGGTCTTTCCGCGAAGCTCGCGGCGATCATGGGCCAATCGCTGCAGCATTTCGGCGTCGGCGGAGTGGCGGGCGCAGTGGGCGCAGCGGCGGTGTACCCCTTAGACACCATCAAGACGCGCATGCAGGCGCAGCGCAAGATCAAAGAGTCAGATTCGGATTCAGGCGACTCGGGGCGAGACGGCGCGATCGGCGCGAACGGCGCCCAATTCCACTCCGCGGCCGGATCGTCAACGTCAACGTTAGCGTCTGCGTCACCGTCACTGTCTCCGACGCAGACGCACGTGCAGTACCGCGACGAGTGGGACTGCTTCCTCCGCATGGTCCGCGAGGAGGGCCCCGCGGCTCTTTACAGCGGGCTCGGCGCGCAACTAGTCGGAATCGCGCCGGAAAAGGCGATCAAACTGACCGTTAACGAGGTCCTGTTGGCCATGCTCGAGTCGACTATCCCCGGAGCGCGTCTGTGGGTCCTCGAGATCATCGCGGGCGGCGGCGGCGGGTTCTGCCAAGTGGTGTTCACGAATCCCGTGGAAATCGTCAAAGTTCGCATGCAGGCGCGAAAAAAGCTCGCGACAGGGTCGTCCGCGTCGTCGAGTGATTCGGAAGCGGAGGTCGCGGTAACTTCCGCCTCCGCCGCCGCCGCCGGCGCGAGCGGAGCGGTAGTAGCGGAGCCGCAGCAGCAAAAAGGGAAGACGTCGTGGCAGGTGGTGCAGGAGCTGGGTATTCGCGGGTTGTACAGCGGCTCGAGCGTGACTCTAGCGCGCGACGTGCCGTCGACCGCGCTCTTCTTCGCGTGCTACGCGGCGCTGAAGCAGGTGATGCCCGATCAGACGTTCATCGACGGGTGCCTCGCCGCGGTCCCCGCCGCCTACCTCGTGACGCCTATGGACGTAGTTAAAACGCGCATGCAAATGGAGCCCGAGGAGGGGAAGGAGGCGTACCCGAACGCGTGGGTGTGCGTTAAGGAGATTGTCGAGGAGGAAGGGCTCGGCGCGCTGTTCAAGGGTGGCATTGCGCGCGTGCTGCGCATGAGCCCGCAGTTCGGAATCACGCTCATGCTGTACGACATGCTGTCGCAGTAACGCGGACGGGGTGTACTACTGTAGTCGTCATGCTCCTGCTCCTCGCCAACTGACTCTCCCCGATACAGTCCCATCCGATTAACGCCTCGCCTCTCCGAGTGTCCTCTTCACGCCAAACCATGAACCCGCCGTTCCGCCATCGCCACCACCCCCGCCACCATTCCGCCATCTTGACATTCCGTTACCGCCTCCACTTCGCCACCCCCGTAAACCCGCCACCCCCCCCATCTCCGCCACCGCACCCAATCCCCCGTTACCCACGCCACCTCCGCCACGCCACCATCTCCGCCACCCCCGCCCCCCCAGCCTTCGTTGCCACCTATGCCATGCCCGCAGTCTCTCAAGTCCGCCCATCCGCAAACCTTCCAACCCATCCGTCACGCACCCAACCATCTCTCCACCGAACCATCTCTCCACCCACCATCCCCGCTATGAAGGGCTTTCTCCAGATGGTATGTACACAAACGGATCGCAGGACCTTGCCTCAAGCATCCCCCTGTGCAGTCTAGGTTCCATGCAAGTGCATACAGTCTCTCATACACACCCGCACCGGTATTATTCCTACCTTAGAGCTTTCAGCTTCTCATTTACAGCTGATTTGGCTCGCAAGGGTACCGGTGACTAAACAGCAGCAACCCAAGTGGCGGTGGTGGTGGTGATGGTGGTGCTGGGTGCAGCAGCAGCTGGTGCTGTTATCGGTCCAGTTTCTGCTTCTGGTTATATGCACCTGGAGCAACAAAATTCTTGTACACTACTCCGCCAGCATTCATTGGTTGTGATTGTATGGAGGGGTAGTTCTCGCTTAGGATGATTCGTTTTCCTTGTGTGATAGTAGGGCATGTGTTTCTGTCTCAACCTGTGATGTGCAGGTCTGATTAGGCCCATTTTACTTCTCCTGACACCTAGACATTTGTGTGATTCTTGCTTGATATGGGTATGTTTTTAACCAAGAAGATTCGGACCGGACTGTGATGGGCAGAGTAGCTCAATGCCGTACTCATTGCCAAGATGCATCCGCCACCATCAGGATCAGAATTGTACATGTATGTTTGGAGTTGTTATGCTAGTGAAAAAGGAACATAGCAGGTATGCATCCTTTCCCTAGCATTTCCTTGTCAATATTCTTATTTATCTCAACAAAGCTGCATAATTCCACGTTCGGACACCCGAAACACCCAGTATGTCTCTTCTTCCGCGCGCGTCTACCGATGCAACATCACCCCAAGAAGATACCGTATGACCATGACCAGAATCCATGCCCAGAAGAGATAGCTGCGCCCTGTACGGTTTGAAAAAGCAAGTATCCCGTCAACTTAAGAAATCTGCCTGGCACATCAGGACTCCCTCCCTACCCTGGTAGCGTACTTGTGCGTGAGATCCAAGATCAGGAACTCGGGGGCCAGCTGGAGGAGTGAGCCTTGTTTAGCTCATACCGATAAGTACCATACCGGTATTGTATGTCGATGCCCTATCAGATTCAAACAAGCAATTAAACAATGGGCACTACATCTCCCTTACAAGCAATATAAATACAGGCGTGTATTGTCTGTTTGTATCCCCATCCATGCCCCATGCTGCTGGTGCCACTGGGCTAAGTCTGCTGCAAGCAACAACTCCCAGAAAAGCCGGGGGCAGAGCTGGGAGAGCAATGCAGAGAGCACTACCGGTATGACAGTTGAGAGAGTGTGGTACTCCCTGTTCTCATCACAACGCCCTGTACTGCTCATGCCACTGGGCAAAGTCAGCTGCAATGCCTCCCAGAAAGGCTAGGCAGAGCTGGGATAGCAAAGCCAAGAGCACTATGACAAGTCGGGAATAAAGTGCATTCCCGATCTCATCACTACGAGCACTGTTCTCATCTAACCACAGCGCCCGCTGCGGCTGGCGCCATTGGGCAAGGTCAGCTGCAACGTCTCCCAGACAGGGGCAGAGCAGGGATAGCAAAGCCAAGAGCACTATGACAAGTCAAGATAAAGCGCATTTTCTGTTCTCATCTCATCACAGCTCTTGATGCTGCTGGCGCCACTGGGCAAGGTCAGCTGCAACGTCGTTCAGGAAGGCTGGGCAGAGCTGGGAGAGCAGAGCCGAGAGCATTCTGATAGACGAGAACAGGGATTTGGGTTGAGGGATGAAGGGAAGGAGAAGGAGGTTTAGGGGTGCACAATTTTTTGGGATGGATAGGACAGGAGGAGCAGGCTGACAGAAAACAGATAGAAGAGTTGGAGAAAAGTCAAGCCCTGAGGCAATAAGAGAACTAAGGAAAGGAAGGAGTGCTGGGTAATCTCGGCGTTCGACTCACGAGGGTGGTGACACGGAGAAAGGAAGAGAGCTCCGTGGCAAGACGAAGGGGCAAATGGTGCATGAAGAGCATGCTAACACAGCGAAGAGTGAGCATAAATAGTATGTTAACACAGCAAAGAGTATGCATGAAAAAGGAGTCAGCAAGATACGAGAGAGAATGAGGGCATACGAGGGTGTTGGGTTGCCTGTTTAAAAAAGAAGACATGACAGTGGGCGAAAGGGAGTGGAGCTGTAAAGAGATAGCTTCTGCTGGGAGGTCAGGAAGATAGCAGGTCCAAGGGATGTTGAGGATAAACTGAAAGGAGAGGCTTACTTGTTCCCTGGTTTCTCAACAGCAGAAAGCGGGAGGAGAGTGAAGGGTAGAGTGTAGACCTGCAGAGCAGAAAGAGATTTGGTCAGGGACGAGCAGAGAGGAGAGAGGAGAGAGGAGAGAGGAGAGAGGAGAGAGGAGAGAGGAGGAAAGGAGAGGAAAGGAGAGGACGGGAGTTTATACAGGTGCCTTTATTGTCGCTCACATGTCCCCTCTTCCCCTCCCCTCTCCCCTCTTCCCCTCCCCTCTCCCTTCTCCTCCTCCCTCTCCCCTCTCCCTTCTCCTCTCTCTACATCATCCCTCTCCACAGCCTGCCCCCCTGCTTCCCACACTTTCCCCAATGTAACTTCCCCACTTTACCCAATGTAACTTCCCCACTTTACCCAATGTAACTTCCCCACTTTACCCAATGTAACTTCCCCACTTTACCCAATGTAACTTCCCCACTTTACCCAATGTAACTTCCCCACTTTACCCAATGTAACTTCCCCACTTTACCCAATGTAACTTCCCCACTTTACCCAATGTAACTTCCCCACTTTACCCAATGTAACTTCCCCACTTTACCCAATGTAACTTCCCCACTTTACCCAATGTAACTTCCCCACTTTACCCAACCCTGTGCACCGTCCCTCCACGCACTCCCCCCTCCGATTTCCCTTCCCCCGGCCCCCATCCCTCCCCAAACCCTCCAACGACACTTGGATCTCAGAGCTCATAGAGAGCACCACGTGGGCCCCACTCCACCCCACCCCACCCCACCCCACCCCACCCGACCCATCCCCACCCCACCCTTACCACCCCCCCAACACACCTCCAATGACACTCGGATCTCTGAGCTCATAGAGAGAACCACGTGGCCCTCCTCTTGCTGACATGGCTGCCACGTCATCACGTTCTTGAGGTAACCTGTAGCAGAGGCGAGGAGAAGGAGACTGTTAAGAAAGAGCTGTGCAGTGAGCAGCAGCAGCAGGCAGCAGTAGCAGACCAGCAGCAGCAGACCAGCAGCAGCAGACCAGCAGCAGCAGACCAGCAGCAGCAGACCAGCAGCAGCAGACCAGCAGCAGCAGACCAGCAGCAGCAGACCAGCAGCAGCAGACCAGCAGCGGCAGACCAGCAGCAGCAGCCGCAATGAATATATAAACTCAGAAGCACACATACACAGACAAATATATATGCAGAAAATAAGATGATGTATATTAGAACAAGAGATGCGTTTCTTAAGGTATTTATGGGAGAGGGAATATGATGAGGAAACTGCGAAAGCAGGGTTAGATTGAAGGAGCATGATCGACAACTGGCAACAGAATCAACAACTGTCCAAACGTCAGCAACACTAATTCCCCTACCACCCCCTGCAATCTCTTCTCAACATCCATGCCCCCTCTCTACTCCCCCACCCCCCCCCCCTCTCTTCCACTCCAACATCTCACGCTCTCTCACACTTGCGACTAAGAAGCACACACCTTCAAACACTCGGTTCTGGTTGCCCTGGCTAGATGTCCCCAGCTGTGAATCCAAGGCGCAGAGGCCGGGAGAAGCGAGGTGGGGAGGGGTGTGAGATGGAATGAGGGGAAAAAGAACAGAAGGATAGAGGGAAGGAGGAAGAGCACAGGGACAGAGGGAGGTGACGCATCACGAGCTACTGCTTATGGCTCTACTGTCATAGAGGGAAACATATGTTTCATATGTTACAAATGTTTCATATGTTTCATATGTTTTTATATGTTTCAAATGACTAGAAGGTATGGCTCAACTCAGTACTCACTTGACACGAGAGCATTTCCACAGTACACGTGTCATGAGAGGATGACACGTGGAGGTCCATGATTGGCTGCACGGAGATGCTGAAGAGCTCTAGTGGATGCAGGTAACACCTGGTACGGGGATGGTGGAGCATGGTAGGATAGCCATGGTAAGACAGGCCTTGGCATGGTAGGACAGACATGGAAGGACAGGCATGGAAGGATAGGCATGGAAGGATAGGCATGGAAGGATAGCATGGAAGAATAGGCATGGTAAGAGCTGGAAAGTTTTCACGAAGTGAGTAAGTGTATTTTTCAAAGAAAAACTGGTCATGAAACGAAATTGCACAGAGTGCGAAGGTGAATGGATGTAGGTGATGTACCTGAACAGATTCGCTGACACAGGCTCCAACTGCCACATGATGGGGCGATGGGTATGGGCACAGGGATGGAAGTGAGATGAGTCGAGTTTTTGAGTCGACTCATCACATGGGGCGATGGTTATGGGCTCAGGGATGGAAGTGAGATGGGGATGTATGCGTACGAATGTGCATGCGCAGGAGCCGAGCACACAGGCAGACCGGCAGGGCAGGCCTATGTAAACAGGCAGGGTGGTAATCAGGCAGGGTGGTAAACAGGCAGGGTGGTAAACAGGCAGGGTGGCACGGCATGCGCGCATGGATATATATCACACAAGGAAGGCCATGCCACCGAAACAAAAGACCCCAGAGTGATGTTTTCAAGTCAGGTGAATGGGTGAACCACATAGCAAAGAGCTTAGACAAACCCGGATGAAACCAGAAAGGGACCTTCGAACGGGGGCAGCAACAGGAGCAGAGGATTGCCTGTGAAAGGATGCGGAGAAGCAGAACCGCAGGATGACAAGGAGAGGCAGGAGGAAGGAGTGAAGGAGGTAGGAGACCAGTCACCTGCTGCAGGCAGCCTCGTTAAGTAGCTTGCGTTGGCCCTGGGGCGACTGCAGGTACCGAGCCAGCAGCTCCACTGCTTCGGCAGAGGTTCGGTACTCAGCGAATCGGTTCTCAGATGACTGAGTTGAAGACTGTGCCAGCGAGGAGTCGATCTCAGGACCTCTCGCGTTCCCCCACGGGTGAATGCGGATGCTGGACATGTGGACTGCTCTCAAGCGCGCCACTCGCGGCCCCTCCTCTGTGTCCTCCGACCCGAGTCGAAATACGAATCCGTGTCTGACGCTGACGCTGACGTTGACGTTTGGACGTTGACGTTGATGCCAATGGTGAGCTTCCACCTTGCTGCTGCTGTTGCTGCTGCTGAAGCTGTTGTTCTTGTTGTCGTTTAAAGCCCCACGCAGCCAAGACAGCCACACGCTGTCTCCTCGCAAGCTGCGCCCTCTCCCCCCTGCACACCTGTCTCCTTCCCTCCCCGGAAAACTCTC